GTGTGTAAATGATATTTTCAATTAGAAAGTGATATAAAGTAATAAGTTAATTTTACATATTTTGAATTTATATATTGACAAGTGTTTTCAGATGCTGATCAATAATTTTTTGTTTTTGTTTTCATAGAGATTTCAGTTTTAACTTGATACGTTGTTGATAAGATTTTGGATATTTTATTTTACAGTAGTTATTAATTAAATGTGTATCTTTTTTTTTCTAACAAAGACAATTTTTGATCACTTATTGATAAAATTTGGTTTTAGTGTTTTGCAAGACCAGCTTCCTTTTCATGTAACTGTTCTTAAAAGTACTAGGTTTCAAGTAACTTTAATTCATACAGTATTCAACACAGACAAACACACACACACATGTATATATATTCATTTTTTAGACAGTTGGATAAGTGTTTAATGTTAAAATTTAATCAAATAAAAAAAGAAAATTCCATTGCTATTTAATCTTAGTAGAATCCAGAATTTAAGCATAACTGAACAACTTCAAAATTTTATTGTACAAATTAATTTTATGTTATTATAGAAATATTTCAAACATCTTACTCCACTGAAAAAGTAAAGTTTTTTAAAAATAAAAAATGTGATTTGTATAAACTTAGTTCACTAAGAAATCTGCTAAGAATTGGATATAAAACAAAAAAGATCATGAAACTTCAAGTATAGATTCATATAAGTGAAATTTTTTTATTATCTCTCTCTCTCTCTCTCTCTCTATATATATATATATATATATATATATATATACACACACACACACACACAAGGGATGCTTTGAGAGTAATGCCAACCTTGTTAGCCAACCCAGTAAGTAAGCAAGCATATATCTCAGTAGAAATATCTAAATTGATATCTGGACATCTTTCTTCAAATATATAACTTTTTTTCCTTTTCTTTTTCTTTATATTTTTTTCTTTTATTCTCTTTTTTTATTTTTTTTCCTTTTCTTTCTTTTTTTCTTTTCTTTTCTTTTTTATTTTTTCTTTTATTTTATTTTTTCTTTTATTTTATTTTTTCTTTTATTTTATTTTTTCTTTTATTTTATTTTTTCTTTCTTTTCTTTTTCTTTTTTTTTTTTTTTCTTTTTTCTTTTTTTTTTTCTTTTCTTTTCTTTCTTTTTTTTTTTCTTTCTTTTCTTTTTTTCTTTCTTTTCTTTTTCTTTTTTCTTTCTTTCTTTTTTCTTTTTTTTTTTTTCTTTTCTTTTTCTTTCTTTTCTTTTTTTTTCTTTTCTTTTTTCTTTCTTTTTCTTTTTTTTTCTTTTCTTTTTTTTTTCTTTTCTTTTTTTTTCTTTCTTTCTTTTCTTTCTTTTTTTTCTTTTCTTTCTTTTTCTTTCTTTTTCTTTCTTTTTTTTCTTTTTTCTTTCTTTCTTTTTCTTTTTTTTCTTTCTTTTTTTTTCTTTCTTTCTTTTTCTTTCTTTCTTTTTCTTTTTTCTTTCTTTCCTTTTTCTTTCTTTCCTTTTTCTTTCTTTCCTTTTTTCTTTCCTTTTTTCTTTCCTTTTTTCTTTTCTTCTTTCTTTTCTTCTTTTTCTTTTTTCTTTTTTTTTTTTTTTCTCTTTTTTCTCTTTCTTTTTTCTCTTTTCTATGTATTTATGTACAAGAATGTCCCAAAATAATAATTCTAATTTATTTTCAGAGAAAGAAATACAGCAAGCACAATAACATTATTGGATAGAGCTAAATTTCAGCTGCAAAACACTAGTTTTCATCATATTCACTGCCATTAGCATTTTTACTAATGATGAAGAAAACCAATGCATCTCTCTCACAACTGATGAAATGCATTACCTGCTGCCTGACTGTGCTCACATCTACCATATGGTCTCTTTAAGCATTCAAAGCATCAATTACCATCAAGTGGAATTTCTCTTTGCATTGAATAATTCAGTGGCTTGACTGTTCTTCATATGCACTTTAATATCAGACACTATTTTGCCAGATTTCTGCTATCTGTAAAAGGCAAAAAAATAAGTATGGGTTATTGATGAGAAATGTTCAACTTCTGCTGCCATGATCCCCAAAATTTGTCTCAGATGTCATGAGCCAACATAATAAAATAGGAGGCATTACTTTCAGAGCAACCATCTGTTTATTCTTTATGTAAAAATTAAACATTTTAATCTAATTTAGTTTGGAGATTTTTTGTGGGACAAATAGTAATTGGTCAATTTTAAAGTAATTTGTCAGGATCCTATTTGAGCAGTGTTCATGTTTTATAAATAGCAGTTATTTTATATGATCAAATTTGATATAAAAATCATCTCAGAGATTGAGCAAGTCAACAGAGTTGATGGATTGTAAAATATTTGCCATGTGCAATATTGGTACTGTCTGGTGACTCATGGCACAAAAGGCCTCTGGTGAGTTTTCTGTAATCGGATTGTTCCAGAAGTTGGGGGATTGACCCCATATCCAACCACCATACTCTGAGGAGGGATTGGTTTTTGGTTGGGATTTTTCTTCCCTCAGAAAACAACATATTCAAATTTGATCTGCCTGTATCTGAGAATTCAGAGTTGCCAACCAAGCATGAAGAATAAAGTTTGCACTACTATTTAACCCATAGCTGGTGAGGAGGAAGAAACGAATTTACACCCTTTTCCAAGGGTGTTTGTTTAAAAGTAAATGTCGCAAACATAACTGTAATTCAAACACAGCTCACTAATCTCGTGTTCCAAGCCAGAGGAAGAAAGTTAATAAGGCAATTATATAACATTTTGCTAGATTATATCTCTTATTTATAAATTTGCACAGGCATGCAACTGTAATGTAGATAATTTCAGTATGGTGTATATTTATAAGACACTATATTGTGACTTTTTGTATACATATACTCTAAGAAAATTTTTTACACATAATTGATTTGAGAAGTATTTTAAAAAGAAAAAAAAACATCAGTCAAATTTAATCTTTTCCTTGTCTTCCATATTTAATGTCAGGATTTAAACTGCTGCATCATCACAAATGAAGTGGCTTTGTCTTCAGAAATATACTGTTGGTTCTATTTGTGTAGTCTGAGCATTTATGATTTATACAATGTGCTTGGTCCAATGAAACCATGCTCAAGATTTATCTTGGAAATCAGCAATAGATTTCTCTGTAGAAAATCTATAAATAAAAAATATACTTCCATTCATAAGGGTTGGACACATATATATATTGAATGAAATCAACTTTTAATCTTGTTTGTTTATTAAAGATTATTAGCCACAAGTATGTTTTTGGGAATGGCCATCAAATATATTTATAAATTGGCTGGTGGAGAAGGCTTTTGTGACATTAGAAGAGTTTGTAGCATGTGAAAACCTAGTTTATTTGCCAAATTATCCAGTCATTATAAACCCTCTTATTTCAAAAACATGTTGCCAATTGAGATGGGTAATATTTTTTTTCTAAATGGTCATGCAATATAAGGCTCAAAAGCCACTCTAGATAGAGGGTTACTAAGTGAACCTATTGTATGGAAGAGGAAGTAAAGATGATGAGAATATTCAGGGTAGATAACAACTGATCCTAGACTTGAAGAATTATCTGTTCCACAAAGTAACATTTCTCCGGCAGAAGCTGTCTAAATAGAACTTCCTTTTTACCAATGGAATATGAAAGCAGTGAGGATGATTTGACCCTGTGTGCTTGGCATGATAGATAAAGTTAATAGTAAGATAATAATTGCTATCATAAATTTATAAATAATAAAATAGCTCGGTTGAATACTATCAGTCATGATGAAGAAAAAAAAGATGTGAGAAAAAAATCTGTTTGTTTACAACTTCATAAAATAAATGTTTGTGATTAAAATATAAAATAATGTTTGTTTTTCAGCACGCTCACGTCGCTACGTGACACAAGGTTGAGATTTAAAGTTCCCTTTTGGAGACGCCTCAGGTGCTAAGCAATAAACTCAGCCCCCTCCCAAAGGAGAGGTACTACCTGGTGGGAAGTCCCCTGGGGCTTGAGCTTGATATTTATATATATATATATATATATATATATATATATATATATATATATATATATTTCCCTGCATAGCGTCTTTTTCAATGATAATCATTGTGCATTGTGTTTTAACAATTTGTCATTTTTATTTTATTTGTATCATCTGCAACTTTGATAGTGTAGCAAATAATCCTTTTATTTATTTATTTTTAGTCCTGTACTAAAAATAATAATGTGAAATTTGTTCTCATTTCACTGACGAATGCATTGACAACTTGATGTGATTATTTAACAAGAACACATAAAAACTGAAAAAAGGCTCTGTTGAATTGGGCATGATTGTGATCAGAAAAGATCATCACATAATTCCACTCTAACTTCATAATAAATTTTGAAACTTGCTTTTGAAAAAAAATCTATTTTGTACCAAAAAATTCTGGGGAAATCTATGAATTAAACTATTTAAACTTCTTGGACTGGAAATTGCCCTGAAATTTTTTGTGATTTCCCTTATGGACAAGCACGGACAAACTAAAAACACATTCTGACCATCACTCCCACAAGGAAACCTGGGATGTTTTTTTTCTAACCACGTCTGATAGACACAACACCGGTTTCTTTGTTCACCTCTCTGAACCATACACTCACACAAAAATAGAGAACTTCGTGAATTTTTTTTAAAATTTTTTACAGTGAGTAACAAAACAAAACTGGGAAAGAAAAGTTTAAAAAATAGGCTTTTGTTCCTTTAAACCTGCATTTATTGTGAAAAAAAATATTTTACTTTGTATTGCAATTTTTTAGTTTGTTTTCAATTTTAGATTGAATCAGTAAAAAAATGTTATATCGAGTCCAAAAGGAAAGCTTTTTTGGGTTTTTTTCTACGTTAACTAAAAAAAAAAAAGAAAACATTTCACTCTGACTTGACATTTAGTTGTTATACAAGTAACAAATCAGAAGTTGTACATTTATTTGTTACAGGAGTACACTAAGTGAAAAAAGTACAAATTGATTTGATTCTCTAGGGTCATATTTGTGAAATTAAATTAAAGATTTATGAGATCAATCGACCAAGTAATTATTAAAGTATTATTATTTCACTTTTGGTTGCAACTAGAAAAGAATTTATTTTTTCGGACACTAACTCTCTCCCACAACCTTTCTCAGAGCTCTCTTTATCTTCAAACTATACATCTCTCTTTCAAATTTGGTGAAAAATATATTTTATTTTCAACAAAAGAGAAAAGAAACTAAATAATTCGACTAAAATTGGTTTTGGAAAAGAAAAATATCTTTCATGAAATTTTTATCATTGCATTACAATTGCAAGAAGATTTCCTTTCTTTTCTTTTTTAGATTTTCAATAAGATTTGATAAAAAAAAATCTAAAAAGAAATGGAGGGAAACGCATAAATGAACGTTAATTAATGAAATTTTCTTCTTTTTTAACCATACACTATTATTGTATTGTTTACATTACAATGAGTACACTACAATACATCTTCTTATGTCTGCAATAACTTTAATTTCCAATAGTATTTAGGGGGAAAGTTTTAAATATTTATTCGCAATATGAGACTTGGAAAATGTATTGGGTCTTTTGAAGATAAGGAAGAGTGTAAAACGAGAGTAAAGTAAAAAGAAATATAGAAAAAAGTCATGGGATGGAAGTATAAAATAAAGAAGGGGTAGTAGTGATGAGAAAAGAAAGTGGGAAGAGGTAGTAAAATAGATGAAGGGGGCAATGTCTAAAAAGCTGAGATAAAATGAGAGGGGAGGAGAAGAAAGCAAAAGAGAAGCTAAGGTAGAAAAAGAAGGAGAGATGAAAGACGTTTTATGGGACCCCAACTTTAAACTTCGACCTGGTTAGTGTTATATATACAAATATTTAATATACAATGTGTTTACAAAGGTGTTGTGGGTGAGCATATGTAATAAGTTATGGATTTTATTTATAGGTTTGCGCACGTGTTATTCAAGTTTGTAGTCACTACGCTACATCACATCACACTATGAAATTTGAAATGTGATTATTATTTCATGAATTTTATATCTTATTTCAATTGTTTTGTTTTTTGTATATTTTTATACGCCCGAGGACTAATTTTTTTGTTTATCCTTTTGTCACTTAAAGAATCTGGATATCAAATTTAGTTGGTTTTTTTTATACATTTAAAAAAGTTAATTTTATTTCACAAGGACAAGTTATAACAATTCAATTGATAATACATTGTTATTGTTTTTTAAATATTCAAAAAAAAAAAAAAAAGAGAATGACAGTTGTTTAAAATTTTACTGTTTTTTGTTTAGTTTTTTTCTTTTTTACCTTTAGTTGGAAACATTTTTTAGCTAAAATCTTTTTAATTTAAAAAATGTCATCAATGATCACCTTTTAAATTAAATTTGCTTTTTAGAGGGATTTAGTGTTGTCCTTGTTTTGTTTTTTTTTTTTTTACATAAGTTGCACAATTACACATGCAATCTAACATGCTCTTAGTTTTAATGACAAAATATTGAATATTTGATTTTAAAAAATCTTTCTTTTATATACTTTTTTACGTTTGTATTATTTATTATTAGTAATTAGCTTAATTTATTTTTTGAATAATAAACTTTCATTTTTCAGTCCATCGTATATCGTCCCTACTTAGGTTCTGAAGAAATTTTAACGTTGCCCAGAAAATAGGTGTATGAAACAAGTTAAAAAAAAACAATTGTTTCTTTAGAGACTCAAAGTAGTAGTTGAATGTTTAAAAGATTATGATATCCACATAACAGACATTGACAGAAAGAAAATTCTTCATATTATTTATTATTATTATTATTCCTTCTCACTCCTCGCTGTTTTTTTTCCTTTCCCCTCTACTTGCCTTTACAAACCATAATGTTTTCCTCCCTTTCAGTTTCACACATAGAAAGTCGATCAGATAATGAATTTTGATGCCATCTGAGAAAATATATAAAAGTAAAACTTAAGAAGATTAACATTACAAAACAACCACATTTTTCTTAGAATATTCAACAAACCCTTTTGAGAATTTATATTCGTTTTGCTTTGCACGTGGAATGTTGATTATGTGGCGGGGATACTGGGAGAACTTTTTTTTTTTTTTTTTTTTTACAATATAAACTCATAAGTTTTATATTCCAGACTATGCTTTATAAATTCAGTCCCTTTTTAAAATATTAGGAAAACATTTTCTTGTTTCTAAGTCAAGTAACTAACTTTCTTTCTCATACTCCCTCCCTCTCTTCTCAATCAGTTTTTTTTAACTCTTAAAATGTAAATATTCAAAAAGTGTCTCTCAAACTAAATAAATCCTACTTTTAGTTTTAGGCCAGTGTTTTTTTTTCCTTTGAAATCAAATATGTTCATACAATGTAAATGGGATCATTAGATATTTTTTTCAACTAATGAAAATAAAGGACAAATAGTGTTATTTTTCACAAAATTGCTTCATACCTGACTTTATTGAAAAATATTGTTTAACTTTTTTAAGGCTTAATTAGTGTTTTGGATTGTCTTCGTCTCAACCACCTCTTTTTTTTTGTGGGGTGGGGGATGCTGAGACCAATCAACAATTTAAAAAAAAAGAAAAACTCTAGAAATACACGTAAAAAGAAAAAAGCCCAAAAAGCGATCCTTAAAACGTTTTAATGTCCAGCCTCTAGTCTCGTCCAACAAGAGAAGCATAGACTTGCTTTTTTTACATTTCATTTATTTATTTCTATCCCAGACCACATATTTCTTTTCTTTCTCCCCTCCTTCCTTTCTCCCTCCTTCAATGACATTATTCGTCTCCCGTTATTCCTTCCTCCCTCCCTGTTTCTATTCATCTCTCACCCCGCCTCTCTTTTTCTTTCTGCCTCCTTCCCTCTCTTATTCTCTATTCATGTCACATTCTGATTCTCTTTCTCTCCCTTTATATATTTCTCACCCCGCTTCTCTTTTCTCTCCCTGCTCCTCTTTATCTATCTATCTCTCTCTCTCTTCTCCCTACATTTTAATGGAAAGTCTCTAGTTTTTAAATATCCGTCTTTCCTTATCTTTCTTTCTTAAAACATCAACACGTAATTTTTTATGTACATCTCCGACACATGCAAAAATACTACCGATGGGAGAAAGAGAGAAAGAGAAACAAAAAAAAGGACACTAAACAGCGCAGATGGTCAAAAACTAAATTTGCTACTTTTAAGTAAGAACTACTTGTTTATATTATTTTGTGTCTATCGCTTGTGTATTTTTCTCTCACTTGGAAGATACACGTATCTGTTTCTTAAATCTTCTTTGTGCTTCTCTTTCTATCATTATCTCTCCTTTCTCAGCTACGCCTCTCTGTGTTTCTTTCCGTAAAACCTTCAAATGCGCGCGGTTTTATCCAATATGTAAATGCATCTGATGTTTACTGTAGCAATAATAATGCTACAGTAAACATCATTCTCTTCTTCCTTGAATACTACTGCTACTATTTAATTTATTTAATGCTTTTATCTTCTTCTTTTTTATTTAACAAAGATGTAATTTGGGGCGTTTTATTAAGTATGCTGATAACACTTTTTAGTTTTTTCTAGTCTTTTTTGCTCACTTACCAGTCGTAGTGTTATCTTTTCCTGAAGCGACGTTTTAAAATTCTGTTCAGTTAAATAACATCATCGATATCATCTTTTCTTAGATCCTACATTTATTTTTCCTTCACAAAAAGGAAAAGGCTTTATTAATAGGAGCAATATAGCACTTAGTGTTTTGTGTGGTAATGTGTCAAATATAGATTTATTTTACCTGTGTAATGATAATCTCTCTACACATTTACTTCTTCTTAGCCTTCTCCTCGGAGAAACATTTGATTTTTATCTTATTTTTACAGCTGTATTCACTACTGACAATACAATACTATTTACCACTTTTATTCAAATATCAGTAGTCGTATCACCATTTCAAGTCAACAAACAGCGACAGAAAATCGAATTGAGATCATCTATGATTTCTTATGGAAGCAGTTTTGATAACAAATTCCCTATTTTCTAGAAAGCGGGGATTGTCTTATTGAATTTTCAACAGCAGAATACAGATTTACACAATAATCTGTTTTTAGTAAATTGTAGCCAAGTTGTACATAAAATGTGAGTGATTCATAGGTTGATTTTAGGTAATTTTACAATCAATCTACGGTTGCATTTTTATCAGCCAGTATAAATTTATAATTACTCCTGTTGTAAGTAAATGCAAAGAAATAAATAACGCAAAAAAACCCAAAAAAACAATTACATTACAATCCAATAATCGGCGACTATTCTTTTTAGTTTTTAAGACGTTGTGATAATTTCATACGAAAAAAATATAATTTTGAATTCATTTTAAAAGTTATTGCTCTCTACACTGATCCTTCATTAATAATGTTACTCTTCTTTGTGTAGTTTTATTTTTTAAGTAATAGTCGACAGACACGAGACAGTAATAAAAAATAAAATACTTAATGTCTACTCATACAGGTCTACTGTGTCGTGTATATTGTTCACATACTTCGACGTGGTATAATGGTTAGCAAGGTCGCTAGATCAATTACGACTTTATGGTAATGAGTTCAATCCTCAATAGGTCCTTCATATTCGGCCGTGTGCCACAACTAAGCTACGCTTATTTGTTTTATTTACTTCATACATAGTTTTTGTTTTACACCCTAAAGGGCTATACAAAAACTGTTTTCAGTTTTTCATTATTTGTGCGTATTTTGCCCTTTTTCGTACTGTGTAACTAACACACTTCTTCACGATAAAGTTGTCAAAATTAGTTTAACTATGATTCATATTGCATAATAAAAATGTCATAGTTAAATGAATTACAGACACAAGCAGATCCTTAAAGTTATGTAAATATTGTGGGCATTAAATTATTATTATTATTAGATATCGGGCAAAGTATTCCTTTTTAGTTTTTTTATGTGCAAACTCTGTCTCTAAAAACTTTGAGTTAGTTTCTCTTCCAACCGAAGAAACAAGTTGTTGTCTTCTTGCCATAAGTTTTCATTTCAGGATAAAATCGTTACAGTTTAGTTAGTTGGAAGCAATGTGGCTTCCTTCAGTTCAAAAATCATATTTTTAATTTTAATACACAACTTACGATTCCCTGCTTGGTACTAATTTTGAACACTAGTGTTATTTTTTTTTTTTTAAATAACGTTTGTTTATTGGCACCCAGTAAGTGTTGGTTGTGACTTTTTTCTTTATTTTTTCCTCTGTAAGAATACTTAGTTAACTACACAACACCAACATACACCGGCAGCTGAAAAACATCGTCCTTCTCTCAGTTGGCGCTAAAAATGACTTGAAAATTCCCCGCGTTTTATTTGATTTTTGTATTTGTTGTTATTGGTTTCCCTTGCAATTTGAACAGTAACGATAATAACGACGATTCAAATTATTCCAAATTGACATGTTTTAAAAGCTAATTCTTTTGTTTTTGTTTTGTACGATTGTGTTCTATCAAATCTTTTTTTTTTTTAATCATTATTTCTTATTTACCTGTATGACTGTCATCACAGATTTTACAAGTATCCGACTAAAACTTCTGCCAATGAAAACTGTTTTTGCTCAAATAATTGAAGTGGGAAATTTTCTGTTCTAGTATTTAGTGTCACTGACCTTTACCTACCTGTTATCGAAAAAGGTTCACTGTTGTAAAAGTGTAAAGGAGACCTGTTAAAAATTGTCCGTTTTTTGTTTTTTTTTTTTTGTATTTTTTAAAGAACAGAACTAAAAAACGAAAAAGATTTTCTCAAGAAAAGGATATTTACCAAGTTTAATCCAGCACAAGTCTAAATATTATGAGAATAAAGGGTGTGTTGCACCAATGGAGACGATCTGTTTCAGATGAAATCAGCTTGCCTTGAAAATAGGGATTCGAAATTCCACCCTTATAAAATCAAGCAGTCAACTGGCGCCGGTGAGAAATATACAACTTCTTCATTAATTATATAACTTTGTTTTTATTATTACAATGCTTCAGCAATTGTGCTTCTGGCCTTCATCAGGTGTCTGTCAATCTGGGTGACATTCAAGGAATCTAAAACTGAAACTCTGAAATAAATAATAAATATAATAAAAACTCATTCTAGAAAATCTGACAGAAACAATTACATCATCTGTTACTCATCTTAATGTAGGTAGGTAAATTACTCAGATTGGAAGAATTTTATTACCCATTAAAAAAAAAATGACGAATTTATTTAGGTATGGATCTATCAAGACTTATACCTAGGATCAAAGTAATACTTCCCAACACTCATGCTTAGAATGAAAATGTTAACACTCCAGTACTTGTGATTCATACCAAGGATCAAAATATCACGTCCCCTTCATGTGTGCCGAGGATCAAAATATCAATTCCCAACCCTTTTACCTAGGATCAAAATGTCACTCCCCTACACTTGTGACTAAGATCATAATGTCACACCCCCATCAATTTTACCTAGAATCAGTATCTCATTTACCCAGCACTTGTGGCTCAGATTAAAATTTCACTTCCTACCACTGGTGCTCGGTATTAAAATAAAACTCCTGCCTAGTTTTAAAATGGCATTCCCCAGCACTTTTGCCTAGGATTAAAATTAAAATGTCATACTGAGGACCAAAATATCACGTTTGCATAGAATCAAAATTTTACTGCCCAGCACTGGTGCCTAGTATTAAAATGTCACTCCTGTTAGTTTATAAAATCTCACATCCCAGCACATTTGCCAAAAATAAAAATGTTACTCTACAGCACTTGTGCCTAGCATCAAGATATCATACCCTTTCACTTTGGTTTACAATCAAAATGTCACTCTCCAGCCATTGAGCTAAGGATCAGAGTATCTCTGCACATTTTGCCTAAAATGAAAGTACTACCAGGATTTAAAATGCTCATTTTTCAAAACAGACAGGACCTCTCTACTCAGATGATTGATGTAACACAATCATCCTAATTTCTGTTTGACATACATTAGTATATCATTAAGGATGAAGTTGATTCCCAAAAACACTTTGAGGAAATCTGTATTTAATTTTTTTAAAAATAACGTAGATTTGTTATAATGAAATAATTCTAAAATAGAATTGGAAAGGAAAGTTTGAAAGAAAGGTAACAAATAAAAACCAACACTTAATTAAAGAGAGTCCTTAAATTTCACACAAGACATAGAAATAAAAACAAAGTTCAAATGCAGAATCATATGAATTGGGAGATGCCATTAAGACAGAGGTAGTGAAGGTTTGGGATGGATTAATTTGAAAGAGAGCATGGCAAAATGTTTGTGTTAGATATTTTCATTGACATTTTTTCATTTATTTTTGTTCACACCTGTTCATGTTTTGCTTTTCAATTTATCATGCTAAAGAGTAACTGAGGTAGTTTTTCAATAATAACCTGGAATCTCAGCTCTGTTCTATTTACCTTGTCTATAAATAAGCAAATAAGCACAAGAATTTCTTTTTACATGATTTGATGTTTTTGTGACAAATTAAGTTCTAAACTGATGAAAGCAAGATATTTCATCTTGGTTTAAGGCCACTTTCAGTTTTGCTGAAGTATTATCTACTTATAATCATTCTAACTACAGCAACATACTGACTGATTTGCTTACTAATTATCAATCTATGGCAGGAGTGGTATAATATTTTAATTTTTAACTTTTTTTGAGAATTTGAGTAGCTGAAAAAGATGAATGCCTATTGCTATGACATGAAATCAGTTTCTCAGATGTGGACAAGTGAATCAAATGCAAGTACCATTATGATAAAATTATAAAATTATTTCTTTCAATGTTCTGCCTGACACCAATATTTATTTGGAATAGTATGATTATTTTTCAGATAATTTTCTCCCTAGCATGTGTATTGAACTTGTACACTTAGTTTATAAGTTGAAAAATACACACCAGTATGACTATTTTAGATGACACTTGTATTTGGTACAAAAGAGTAACTTGCAATAGCATCAATTTACGGCATATTTTTTATGCATTTTACCTAAGAATTTTAAGAATATTTTTAAAATATCCTATTGGTTAATATTTTTTGCATTAAAAATATAAGAATATGCTGAACATATATCTCAATCAAGAAGCCCTTCCAAAAAAAACTATTTTGATGTCTTGTCATTTGTTCAGGTGTTGGGTTGAAAACTTTTTAGCACCCACTCATATAAAAATCTACCTATTTGCCCTTGATTATGCATGTGCATATATATGTCTTAGACTGTGTATGTGCATTTATATACCTTGAATTGTGCACACACATATATTTTCCTTAGATTGTGCATATGTATTTAAGATCATAGTTAAGATAAAGAGTAACATGTTTTATTCTGTTTTTCAGTTG